GCTCTTTTTTTCCTCCAAAGATCTGCCAAGATGGGATTCACAGGTAGACATCACACATTGCAACCATTTTCCTTTGCTTTTCTCAGGAAGAAATACTTATTCCTATTCCCCAACAGGGCATACTGTATGGAATACTTTTTACTTTTGTCAGATCTTAAGAGACATATTCTGCTAGGCAAAGACAGGGACTGTAATTTCTAGAAGGAAATTACAGTAGAGATGAAATCAGTCTACAGGTGCCTTAAATAACCCATAAGCTCCAGCACACGTAATTTTGTGTATAGTGCTCTACAGACAAATAGATTTGTTCCTTTCAATTTGTCAGGTAATTTTTCCTGTTTCCCTCAGGTAATCTGTTTGTTTCCCACCTGGGGCAATCCCTGTTAAGTAAAACCTGCAGGGAATGAAAATTTGGTGGGGAGCCAGAGAGAGTAAAGAAGCTGTAACAGGGTGGTCCCAGGAAAAGCCCTCTCTCCCTGCCCTGTAACAAAGCTAAGGCATCAATTAACAAATTTAGTTCACACACCCCATGAGCGCCACAGAAGAAAAAGACAGCGTCGGGGTTGGAGGAAATGACTCAAGTGGATGATGAGTAAGGAGTCAGCTTGCCAAAAGGCGAGCCAGCCGACGAGGGTGGGATTCGAACCCACGCGTGCAGAGCACAATGGATTAGCAGTCCATCGCCTTAACCACTCGGCCACCTCGTCACGTAGCAGCCGTCCACCCTCTATCTCCTCCTCCCTGTGGTATCTCCAGGCGCCTCGCAGCAACTTTTCCTCCGGCCACACCCACACTGAGTTAAAAGTCTAAGTCCCTTTCACAACCAGCACGAAGACGCGCGGCCCTTACTGGGCTGAAGTCACCTGGGAAACACCTGAGGGCAGGTGGAACCAGGCCAGGTCGCATCGTGGGGCCCGTCCCCCTGACTCCCGTCTCGAGCGCCCCCAGACACCCAGGGTCCCCCCACTGCCGCCTTCTGCCTTCGCGGGACCAAGTCCCGCGATCAGAATCCCTCCTGGGGTCCCGGTTCCCAGAGGTGCCAGCAACCTAACCCAGGGGCTCCCTCTGCCCGAGCGGTGCCCCTTTGCTGCCCGCCGCAGCGCCGGGCACGGATCAGCCCGGCAGAAACCCACCCGCGAGAGCGCGCTCGAGGCGGGGCGGAGACGCGCAGGCGCCTGGAAGGGGCGTCGCCTGCGCCTCAGCCCCAAGGGGCTCAGCTTCCCGGTCACCGCGGGCTCGAGCGACCCCGGCGCGGGGCGGGTGCCGGTCAGGGGGGCGAGGTCTCAATCGCGTCACTCACTGCGCCCCCCCCAATGCAAATGCAAACACTTGGGGCGCCGACCTAGTGACGTCCTGTCATCCACTGTGAGCTTGGAGGCTTTCTGGTCTGTACCGCAGGGTTTCCGGAGGGGCCTTTTCTTTCTTTCTTTTTTTTTTTTAATTATTACAAAAGTTTATTTTTACATCATTTTGCACATTTTTTTTTCCATCTCGATTGTAATTCCCGCGGGTTTCCCATCACCAAGTCACCCGTGTGCCACCACCATAGTCCCATGCAGTTCCCTCCCCTCCCCCCCCTTTTTGATCCCATTCCCCACTCCATCCCCACAAAATGTCTGTGGTATATGGTTGTTCATTATTTTTGTTATTTTCTCGCCTGGTCCATTATACTCCTGCTATGAGTGAAACCATCCGGTATTTTTCTTTCTCTTTCTGGCTTATCTCACTCAGCATGATCTTTTCCAGCTCCATCCAAGTTGCTGCAAAAGACATGTGTTTCTCTTTTTTGGTTGCTGAGTAATATTCCATTGTATACATGTACCCCATCTTTTTTATCCAGTCATCTACTTTTGGGCATTTGGGCTGCTTCCATGTTTTTCCAATTGTAAATAAAGCAGCAATAAACATGGGGGTACAGGTATCTTTTTCAATCAGTGTTTTTGTGTCTTTTGAGTAGATACCTAGGAGTGGGATTGCTGGGTCATAGGGAAGCTCCGTGTTTAGCAGTTTGAGGAACCTCCAAACAGTTTTCCATAGTGGTTGTACTAGTTTGCATTCCCACCAGCAGTGCAGGAGAGTTCCTTTTTCTCCACATCCTCGCCAACATTTGTTGTTGCTAGTTGTTTGAAGATGTGCCATTCTCACTGGGGTGAGGTGGGATCTCATTGTGGTTTTAATTTGCATCTCCCTTATGACGAGTGATGTTGAACATTTTTTCATATGCCTGTTGGCCATCTACATTTCCTCTTTGGAGAAGTGTCTTTTTAGCTCTACTGCCCATTTTTTGATGGGGTTGTTTATTTTTGTTGAGTTTCATCAGTTCTCCGTATATTTTTGTGATCAGTCCTTTATCGCTACTTTTGTGTGAGAAAATGTTTTCCCAATTCGTGGGCTGTCTGTTTGTTTTTAGTAATGTCTCTTTTGCTGTACAGAAGCTCTTTAACTTGATGTAGTCCCATCTATTTATCTTTGCCTTCACTATTGTGGCATTGGGTGCTCTGCCTTTAAAGATGTCGCTGAAGTGTATGTCGTGTAGTGTTTGACCCATCTTTGCTTCTAGGTATTTTATGGTTTCTGTTCTTATGTCTAGGTCTTTAATCCACTTCGAGTTGATTTTTGTGACTGGAGTGAGGCAGTGATCTCGTTTCATTTTTTTGCATGTAGCTTCCCAGTTTTCTGGAGGGGCCTTTTCTACCAAAGTGCTGATGCCTTGCCCCTCTCTGGTGCCAGCTTTGCTGGAAGGGGCACCCCTGTCACCGAATTTCTAAGTTCCTTCCGTGAGCACACAACCACCTCAGGGTAATGCATCCCCAGCATCTGTGAAAGCACCTCAAGGGTTTCCTTCCACTCCTGCGAGCGCAATGCTTCTGACAAGACTCGTCCACTGCCCACTCTTCAGAGATGCACATGGGGCTTGGGTGGCTGCTGATGTTAAGGCTGGAATTCTGTTGTGAGTCGGTGTCATTCACTCTTTCTGGGTTGCTGCCGCCCAGCTACAGGGCAGGGAGTTGATAGGCTGTGGCCATCACATCACACCAGTGGCCGAGGAAGCGACAGTGACGACTGACAAACGATCGAAATGTTTTGGATTTAATACAAAGTCTAGACAGAATCAAGGTGCCCCAACAGTTTAGATTAGTGAAACCTCTTGGGCTAATAATCCCAGGTGCTTTTTTTTTGAATCGTAAGTTTGTGATGAGTAATAAATTAGTTCATAACAGCAAAACGTTTGGAAAATACTAATCACGGTGTAAAACATTTGATGATGCTATGTTGTTTTATTTTGATAAATAATAAACGAATAGTTCCAGGAAATTATGCTCAAAAAAGAAAACCCAGTAGGAAAAAAAAAATCAAAAACCATGCATGGTGAATGCACAAAAGAAAACCAAAACAACGAGTAAATGTGTTCAAAGATATTCCTCCTTGTGCCTATGTAAGGCTACGGCGTTTAAAACAATCTCTCCTGCTGCCCCACCTGCCACTTCTGGAATATGGTCCTTGCACGCGTAAAGTGGCCCACCCAGACCACAGGCTGCAAGCGACAGCAAGAGCTAGTAGCAGGAATCCCCTGGCTCTGCCTGCTTCCCTTCCCCAGGCCCAGGGGGCAGCATTAGCACGAGAGCACCCCCCACCCGGCATATTCTACGGAACAGCAGTAACAGCGGAGGCCACTGCTCCAGATGTTCAGCCAGGAGGCCCTGCCTACTGCGCATGCTTCCGGAATAGTTGGGGATCAAGCCCAGTATTAGCAGAGTGTGCTGGTTTACATAACATTAATACAACATGTCTATATGTAGTAATTTACAAACTTCCCCGCTGTTGAGAAAACAAGGGAAGCTGCAGGACAGTGTGTGCGTATTTTTGTTTGTTTTAGTTGATATGCTGATTTTAGATATTTAATAGCAGTGAGGGTCGTTGAGGGCCATTTAGCTTCAGCTCCAGATTTACAAAGGGGCGGGCGGGCTTATACTACAGTTATTGCCAAAGGAGTATCAGATCTGCTCACACATCTCTGTCAGCACTACATACACGGCCTCAATGTTTTCTTCTAAGAGTTATCTGAAGTGTTTCAAAGATCTCGTGATACTTTTGAATCTTATTTGACTTTATTTTCTAATATACTGGGAATGAAGGCATGCACCTTTTGCAGCTGCTGAAAAGATTGATATAAAAAATGAATAATACCCTGAAGCAATGGTTAATAGCCGGTAGCAGAAAGGTGAACTTGTTTAAAAAAGATTTATTTATTTATGCATACAAGACTGGGGTGCCAGCCAGAGGTGTACAGGGTGAAAGACTTCACCAGAGACTGAGTGGGTAGCAGAACTGGCAGACTGACACTCAGGGGAGCAGTGGGGACACAGGAGAGGCCTGTTGTACCCTGTAGGTCACCTCCCTGACTGGGGATCGAACTCCTGCTGCAGTGGCTGTGGATAGCTTCATAGTGCTGCGCTTTAACCCACTGTGCAACAGGGAGGCCCCCAGAAAGTTAAACTTTCTGTATTAAACACTTTTTCCAGATTTCACTTTTTTTTTTTTTTGCCACGAGCATGTGTTACTTAGTAACTTAATTTTAAAAAGTAAAGCTTAATTTGGCTAAGATTGAAGGTAAACTAACATCAGAAAAATGAACAAAGCAAAAACATTCACAAATTAAGATGTTAAGTGGCAACCAAATTTAGCAACCACTTTTCTACAAGCGGGATAGAATTTCATGTTAACATCTTACAGATCTAGCTAGGAGACCCGGCCTTTAAATCACACCCTTTCAGATGGGAAAGAACCCGTTGCTCTGTGTTCTACAGCAGTCACCTTGGTTCTTAGCACTAAGTGTTGAAGTCAACAATCACAATTATGAGGTAACTGCTATGTCCGTATTGGTTTTTCTCAGGAAATTGCCGTTTCCTTTTTGGGCTTGTCAGCCTTGGCTTCACCATGCCGGGTCAGGGAGCACCCTGTCCCACTTGGGGAGCTTCCTGGGAGGGGGCCCGCGTCTTCGTGTATTTGGAGAAGGATGTCAACAAGGTAATTCTTTCATGTCTGAAAAAGCAGACTGCAGATAACTGTAGAATTACCTTGTCTCTCAGGTGCCTGCGAGGTGTAAACTAGACGGTTGGCTCTGTAACATCTTTGGCTTAATAATATGTCAGCAGAGCCGAAAGCTGAGGTGGCTGAATGTGGTGGTTCCAGTTCTACCATAGAACACGAACGCTCTCAGGGACAGAAGCAGATGTGACACAGCCATCCCGCTAGACTGGCAAACTTTGCTAAGCACAGGCGAAGGGCTGCAGGTATCTGGGGAGCACCAGGCTGACAATCCTGGAACTCCACTTATGTTTAGTACAGTATCGCCGTGGACCTCACTAAACTGCTCAGTAAGTTGGCAAGACTTCAAGCGCTTTGTTCTCTAAGTTTCTGTCAAGAAGGCGGCATACCAAGCCCAGTGCCAATTCTGAACACCATTGCCCTCATTCTTTAGCTTCCGTAACCTGCCTGTTAGCGGCCTCTTTGTCTCTGGCAGGCTTTTCAGGGTGCGGTCCCCTGGCCGACAGCATCGGCAGTACTTGTTAACTTGCTACTAAAACACATTCTCACTCCAGCAACCAGTGTTTTAATCCTCCAGGTGATTTTGATGCTGAAGCTTGTGAACCCGTTCCCTAACGCAGAAGCTGCTCAATTTGCTCTTCTTGAAACTATCATTTCAGTCGTGTATGATTTTTCTGAAACATGGTTAGAATCAGCCAGAAGGTGAAAGTGCTCTTCAGAATTTATCACGACCCAATGCTGCGGTCTACACCAGGGAATTTACATGACTGCGATTACCCTGAGCAGTCTATTGCCTGTTTGCCTCCCCCCAGCCCCCAAATGCAGGATCCTATCTTAGGGTGTTTAGAGAATGTTCTATAATTTGCAGAACACGTGATTTTGTCACTTGAAGATGACAGAATTCTTACTTCCCTTACCTAACTTTCCAATTGCTATTGTACATATTATTACACACTGTTAATGTAATTACTGACAAGCTGCTCCCACAGAGGATGAGAAGTTACCTTCTCAGCCGCCTCCCCATCTTAGGAAGGCAGTGAAAGAGATGGCTGCTTTGTTAGTTATTTTAGGTATTTCATTATTATTGAAGAGAGACTAGTTAATTTCTTAGGACCTTCGTCTCAGAGAGCAGAACACAGATGCTGTGAAACACTGGAATTCTTTACAGGCAGAATGATTCTCTACTATGTAGGTTGAGCTCTTTGACAACTTACCGGTTTTATTGTGGTTTGGGGGTACATTTTGAAGTTTGGTGAAATAGGTTGACAAGTATGTGCCTAAAAGAAAGGTCCATGGTCACTCTGGGATTTCCATTCAGTGTTGTCACTGTGCTTACATATGTAAAGCGAGGTCCCAAATCTAAGAATGGGGGGGCCACGGCCAAGTCTGTCTGCACCCTCAGTGAACCAAAGTATGGGGACTAACAAGGAGTTGGTAAAGATTTCTCTCAGTAGCCCATAGTTTTAAGCCAACATAAAAGAAATAACATTCATCAATGTAGAAAAAGAAAACAGCAGCTCAACAAGTGGGGTCCATGCCACAGCAGGACACACGTCTCTTGTGTGGGACTTTGCAGGGAAGTTGTTTAACTTGGACGCCATCCGCTTGCTCTGAGGAGCTTGAGACCTGTTTACTTCAGAACACTATCTGCTTTTAGGCCACTCTATTGCAAATATCTTAACAATGAAGTAAATAATATGAAAGATATTTCTCACGAAAGCAAGTTTTCACTTGTAGTATATATACTTCGCATTTGCAGTTATAACACATATTGCTTTGTATCATATTTTCCACATATTTTTAATATTCAGAATTATGTGCTTTCTTTCTAGCAGATTCGATGTATAAATTCTCCATAGGCTGGTGTGGCCAGTAGGGAAACTTCTTCTGTAACTTGGTTTCCGGGAGGACTTCATTCAAGTCCTCGATGGTCATCAGATCAAATGAGAATATGAGCTTTATTTTCTGCAGCTCTTTCTGGCACTCCTCCAACCAGGCCTTGGAGAGGCTCAGAAACTCAGCACAACTTTCACATCTTTTTTTTCAGCATCTGCTAGGGCAGTGTACTTACCTCCTGACCGGGGTAAACATTTACCTTCAGGGCATTAGACATCTTCTCAAGGCTACCTGCAAAGCCCGACTTTACTGTGTAGGGCCTGTGTGAGCCTGGTCTATATCATGCAGATTCTCAGGAGGGCGGCCAATCTGGAGGTGATCTCCTTCTAGGATTTCACAGCTGGCGATGCCTTTGGTTTCAGGGGATGATCTCCCGAAAAGCTATCCAGTCTATTGCATTTAGAATAAGTTTTCAGGGCCCTCCCTGGTGGTGCAGCGAGTTAAAGCATAGCACTAAGAAGCTTAAGCCACTGCTGCATGAGTTCCCCGCCCTGGAGGTGATCCACATGGCAGACCTCTCCTGAACCGCCCACTGCTCCCCTCAGCAGTGTATTTCATTGATCTGCCTGTTCTGCTTCCCACTCTGTCTCTGATGAATCCTCTTACCCTCCGCAACTCTGGCCAGTTCTGTATGAATAAATAAACAAATTAAAAGAAAAAAAAGAATAAGTTTTCATCCAGCCATCTTCAGATCCTATTCAACTCTGGTGGGTCAGAGTCTAGTCTACCATATTCCTTGAAATGCTTGGCAGGGGACTTCCTTGGTGGCCTGAGATTAAGTCTCAGCTTTATCACCTTAATGGCCCGTGTTCCATCCCCAGCCATGGATCGTCACCCACATGGCGCAGCACACCTCTCCTGTCTCCCTGCTGCTCCCCTTAGCAGTGTATTTCAGTTGACCTGCCTTTTCTGCATACCACTCTGTCTCTGGTGGATCCTTTCACCCCCAGCACCTCAGGCCTGTATCCTACTTCTTGTATGCATAAATAATTAAATTTAAAAAAATATATAAGGTTCTATCTCATTCATGTACCCTTTCAGATGGATTAGAGATGTAAATGGAAAAGTAAAATTATACAAATTTAAATATTAAGAAGTTTCTTTTTGAGCTGAAGGCAGAGAAAGAATTCTTCAAAAGGCATGCAACACAAAGATAAACAAAAAAGCCCCATATAAACTAGATTACATTACATTTCAAAACTAGGGTTCATCAAAGATAGAGAAGGACAGGCAACCATCAAATTGGGGAGCATATCTAGTGAATCTTCTCACCCTTCTGGCCTACAGCCCAGTTCTTCTACACAGTAAATAAATAAATATTGAAAAGGGGAAAAAAAAAAGAACTGGGGAGCATATCTGTAGTATTTCTGGAGAAATGTTCACCCAGAAAAATGTACCAAGTCCTTCAGCATGTGCAAGAAAAGTGAGTCTCTGTCAAGAACACCCAGCGCTACGCATTAGTCTGGTCTTTGCCCAAGACACATCACTGCGTCTCTCAAGGTCACGGGGGGCCACGGCACTCCGAGTGGCCTGGGGAAGAGAGTGGCTGCAGACTCTGCGGGCACAGCCTGGTTGAGCGCGAGAGGCCTGAGGCGGCTCGTCCCTGCCAACATTTCACATGTCACGTCATGAGATGCTTTCTTCACAGCACCAAGTAAGACGCCTCGCTTCCTGGCCCGGAAAACACGGCACGTCACAGCCTAGTCCTCTTTCCAGCTTCACCCCACGCTGCTTCCACAATGCCGCTCACCACCGAATGCCTCTTCCCAGGGCACTGAGCACTTCGTTACTCTCACTGCACCTTCCTTCGTTCTTTTTCCATACGGGTGAATAATTCATTCTTCCTCCCAGGTGTCACCTCCTCCGAAGGCTTCGCAATCCTCTCAAAAGTTCCACTGGTGTAAAGCACTGCATAAACTCAGCGGCTCTGTCACCATGATGACTCTTTTTTACACGCCCCTATGTTCCCCCAAGACCAAGCCAGAGGAGACGAGGGTGCCTTATTCGTTGTTTTTGTATTCGCACTACCTTGCACGAGGCCTGACCTAAGACAGATAATCTTCCAGCTTGTAAGGAATAACCATGTTAAATGTATCCAGACCGCCTCGCACGAAATTCCCAGAAAAAGAAATTTCTTTTTCCAAAGCGGATGTTCCTTGGGTCTTCAGAACACTCACCACTTAGCTAAGGATTGGGTTGTGCTGCTCGGGGGTGGAAGAGCATCATGCCCCGCTGGGAAAGAGGCAAAATGGCCATCCTAGGAGCCAGCCAAGACACCTGCAGCCAAGGAGGTATGAAAACACTGACGAGAACAAGAGAAATCAGGTGACAGGGAGCTCTCTCCTGGGAAGAACAAGGAGAGAAAATAGTCTCCTCCAATAGCCAAAGGAAGAAGCAGGCAAGAAGTTCACACTTTGAACCCAGCACAGCAAAGACGACGTCCTAGGCGTGAATGAGGCCCTTGGCCTCCGCTTGTGTGTCTGTGTCTTCCTTTCTCTGATAGTCCCATGGCTCCTAGCTCCTCAATCTGAGCTCCCGAGGCATGTCCCCACAGTCCCCACGTCCCAGTGGTGCGTACCACCTCAATACCTGAGACCTCTCCCTATGAACTCGGTGCCTGACTGACAGCCTGGCTCAGAGCCTCCTGGAGTCCCAAGTTTCCTAAGGCGGACTTGCCTGAGGTGCCAGAAGTCTCAGAGCTGAGCGTTCCTTTGTAGAGAGTCCCCTCTGTGGAGAGAACCGCCGCTCCACCAATCCAGAGCGTCCCCTCCTCTCTGTCCACAGTGTGGACCAAAGCAATCTGCAATTTTCATCAGGCTGGTGTTCATCTTGAACCTCACATGATTCAGTTTCAGGATCAAAAGGATTTCAGGCTTGTTAGGCAGCAGTGAGAAACCACTATTACAGAAACCTGGAAGCAAAGCAACTTTAAAGCCCAACTCTCTTTTTGCAGTTTTAGATGTATATATACAGGATTTGGGCTTCAGGTCTGGGGATTTTAGATTACAGTCTGGTAAAGAGCTCTGCTGGGCTTTCCAGAGCCACAGAAAGACACTTTCCAAAGTACCCATGAACTCTCGACCACTTCCCAGATCTGAGCTCTCCTGGGTGACATAAGATTATCAAGCATCACAGTCGCTCAAACAGATCCTGGAAGTCAGCCTAAAACCAATCCCAGACCCAGCTTGGTTCCCCGAGGCCCCCTAGTCTTGTTTCTGAGTCTTTGCACATGACTTAGCACATCTAGGGAACTACAAGCAAGGGTCAAAAACACCTGGAAGCACAGAAACTTTTTGGGAAGGTTTAGCGTGTTCTGATTCGGGAAGCTCAGTCAAGTCCAGGCGTTTACTGAACAGGTAAGTCCAAAGGCTTAGCGCTTTGTTAACTAAGCAAGAACAGCTTCAAGAATCACCTATTGCACTTCCTACGTAAAAACAGGTGTTCTCTCTAACCCAGATAAACCTGCTGGAGAGCAGTGCAGTTCGTCACAACCTGAGGAAGCCAGAGGCCAACTGGCTGGTATCTACAGATCAAGGAGGAGATGGGGGGTCCCGGTCACATCAGACATTACTTTTATTTCCAGTTTCAAAACTGAGTGCTTCACCTTCAATACTGTCGGTAACAATGACAATAAAAGGCTACTACAGGAAGAATAAAAACAGTGTTTGAAATACTGAAGTTTGCTGTTACTAAACTGTACCAAGCTACATGTACCAAATGTACCAACCAAATTTAGTACCAATACTACCTAATGGTAAATATTTTGCAAGTGGCTTTACCTTCGGGTTGTAAAACTGCATCCTCAGTAGCAGATGTGGTTCGGACCCTTAGTCACTTTGCTGATGGATTCACTGTACCCTGACCTCTCACATCTTCAATGGTCCAAGGAAACAAGTGTCCATTAGCATTTTTAACTTATTTGTCTTTTGGTGACAACTTCGGATACACAAAGGCTTTTGGTGTAACCTTCCCACAAGTCACTGGCAACACTTTCCTCTGGCGTGTACTTTCTGGTGTTTTGTAAGATTTGAGCTCCCACGGAAGGCTTTCCCACACATCACACTCATAGGGCTTCTCTCCAGTGTGAATCCTCTGGTGATGTATGAGGGTGGAAATCTGGCTGAAGGCTTTCCTGCATTCTCCACACTCGTAGGGCTTTTCTCCGGAGTGAACCCTCCGTTGGTTAATGAGGGCTGAGTTCACACAGAAGGCCTTCCCACACTCCTTACACTCATATGGCTTCTCTCCCGTATGGATTCTCTGATGTTTGATGAGGGCTGAGCTCACGCTGAAGGCTTTGCCACATTCGTTACACTCATAGGGTTTCTCTCCATTGTGGATTCTCTGATGTATTATCAGGTGTGCCCTCACACTGAAGGCCTTCCTGCAGGCGCTGCACGCGTAAGGCCTCTCGCCAGTGTGGATTCTCTCATGCACGGTGAGGGTGGAACGCACACTGAAGGCTTTTCCACAGTGCTCACACTCATAGGGCTTCTCAGCAGTGTGGGTTCTCCGGTGTCGAACAAGGCCTGAGCTCTGAGTAAACCTCTCCCCGCATTCATGGCACGCATACCGTCTTTCTTCTGCCAGTCCGTCCTTAGGCTTCCCTAACTGGCGCACGCACTGGTCTACTCTGCCATACTCAGGGATCAACGGACCCGCATTACATAAGCTAGGCACCTTTGGGTGTGGGTCCATCCTTTCCCAAGGTTTCCTTTCACAACTGATACCTTGTTCACTTCTCTGAGCTTGACTCCTGAAAAGATAAGCAGACCTTTCAAATATAACTCATTTCGGGCTGGTGGAGTAACAGGATGTGACAGAGTGGCTGAGGCTGCTCAAGTGTAACCCAGAACAACCAGGCAGCCAGATTGGACTTTACTTAGTCCATTCTGTCACACAACGCCTCACAGAACTCTCGTTCTGTTCAACTGGAGACTGAAATTTCCTCACACAAAGGTATATAAAGCACAGAACCCTGGACATAAGCAAATATAAACATAATACATAGCTCTTACTTACGATAACAAACTTTTTGGATTGGAAAAGACACAGGCTGGCGGCAGCGCTGCCTGGTGCGACCACCGCCTGGCTCGACCACCGCCTGGCTCTGGAGGTGCTGTTGCTGTGACGCCGTCTCCTAGCAACAGGGATGCGCTGCCTCCCTTAGAACCTCGGCGGAAGAGCCCCTTCACCTCTCCAAACAAGGGGCGCCACCACCCATGCCATCTTTATAGACAGACAAATGCGCTGCGCCTTTGGTGGGGAGCTGCCACACTCGTGTCCCTGGAGAGCAAATTCAAGTCTGTATCCAAACTTGTTTTACTCTGAACCCAAATTACACATATTCTCTGCCTTTTTTTTTTTCACTTTACAAATTTTGTCTCAACAGTGATGAGCTGACAGTATGTAACCTTGATATACGAGTGGTATTCACCACCTTCGTGGCTGTTTCCCCAAAACCTATAACCTTAGGATAGTGAGGAGAACCTCAGTCAAAAGCCAAGGGAAAGACAGGCTATCAAAACCCTGGGCAGCACTCTCCAAGCTGGCAAAAACAAGTCTGAGAAACTGTCACCACTGAGAAGAACCTAGCGAGAAGTGACAAATGCTGGAATAGAAAAATAACAACACATAAAAGCTATGGAAGTAAGAGTGAAGTATGGGTGTTGGCAATGAAAGTCAACAGCGATTCTACAGTTTTGATAAGTATATTATACTAATGGAAGATATTAATCTGGGTGTTGGGTGTCCAGGGCCTCTGAGCCCTCTACCGTGTCTCTAAAAATCTAAAATTCCCAGAAACATTCTAGAACTTTTATTTGAACATTTCTCTATGTCGGTGAATAGGTAATACAATTCAAAAGTCAAAATGATATAAAAAAAAATAGAAGTCTTGTTTCCACTCTGACCCCCCCTCAGTCTACCACCCTGGTAACCACTTTCACTAGTTTCTCATCTCTTCTGGGCTGCTTTGTGCTGCAGAACCGCTAAAACAGGCATTTATGCCAGGGAGGGAACCGAGCCAGTCCATGCAGACACAAAACGGGCAAACACTCCTACCTAGCAGGAACTGACAATTTAGAGATCCACAGAAGACACCAGCCAATCCCCAAGCTTGTTCACATCATCTTTGGACTCCCGTTCCCCTAATTCAGCCCCTCCACCCAAAAATGAAAGAACACTAGGTAACCAATTAGTGAAGAAGCCAAACAACATCTGGATTATACCACAAAAACCCCTTCCTCTGAGCAACCTGGGACTCACTCACCCTCATCTTGAGTTTCCCAGCATACAGGTCTAAAACCGTAAAACCTAGCAATAAGCTCGTCTCTCTTCTTTGTTGTCTTTGGAATTTCATTCTGGACATCACCAAGATAAATGTTTCCTTAAGTCTGATTTCCTTGCTCCAGTTTGGGGCAGAAGATTCCCCACAAGTCAGTCACCCGCCTGCTGTCACAGGGATCCTGTCCCGTACCTGGAGCTGCCCCGTGGCTGTGGGATGCTGTTCTACCAGCTTTCTCAGGGTGCACTGGCCACATGGGCCCGAACTGTTGCCCAACGCCCAGAAAGAACTGCATCTATGTTAGGAGGAGGAGTGAGATCCTCCCCCGCTGTTACGGGGGACCCGCCCAGCCCACCCAGTGCCCTCTTGGGTTGCAGTTTGCTCCCACTGGAACTATGCTTGCACACCCTTGCCTCAGTGTACCTTCTTTTCCCGAGCACCCCTCCCACCACCACTGCCCCAAAGTGCTGACAAAGTCTTCAGACAACTACAGAGGATGAGCTTGTTGTCTTAGTAAGTTATCTGAAGGCTGCAGATACACAAAGAAGTACTGTCTGCGTGATCAGCAGACACCTTTGGTGAACATTTTTAACTTCAAAGCAAAGCTGTATCGCCAAGAGGAACGTCTGCTTCTTTCAGAAGCTGGAGAAAAGCGCCGGGAGAGCGTGGGCAGAATGCACTCTGGACCCCGGAGGGGCTCCTGCGCCGCAAGCATTCGGGGGGCTGTTCTCTCTGAGGCAAAGGAGATGTCAACGTCTCAGCAGCGCGCCCCGGGCCCCGGGCTGCGCAGCACACGCGACGGCTGCGGACGCGGTGCCAAGCGGCAAGGTCCCCTGCGCCACCCGCCTTCTCCCTCTCCTTTCCGTCCAAGAGGGGGGCAGGGGAGGCGGGGGGGCCGGGGGAGCCCC